CGCGGCTTAAGGTCATAACGCGTACCTCGTTTACGTGTGCGTTAGTAGTAGACCATTCCAGGAGTGATGAAATATCCTCATGGCTTAAAATTAAATTCTCCATATTTAGCCCCTTGATCCATTCGTGCAATGATGCTCAGAGGTCACCTTGAGTCTCGAACCGTTCTTTGGGCGTGAACGTCGACGTTCGGTTTGTAGTGAGCAGTCATCACAACCGAAAAATGAAATGGCGCATTATTCTCAGCTCATACTGATAACTTCATTACTGAAGATATACGACGAAGCTCAAGAATGCTAATTATTAAACGTCAGGTTTGTAATATGGCAGAACGTTAATGATGGTTCATAAAAATTCCTACTCTCGTGTAGGGAAACAATTTATCAGCCCGTGAAAATTGGTTGCGACCACGTCGGCGTCGGCGTTTGCTTTGCCATCAGCCATGGACTGTTCTTGGTTTCGTATCAGATTACCTTGCCAGCTCATCCAAGTATTCTTTTCAAGGTCACTTTTTCTACCTCACCCCTCATCCGGCATGCCTCATTAGGGGCAGAGCTCTGTTTATTCGCCGCAAACAGGAAGTAAAGATTCTAAGCCAACGGGTGTTCATTTTGCTTGCGATTATCATTTCTGCTTTAAAATGAGCCGAAGTTCCTCACAATAGCTTGTGATGCTGAATAGCGTTTGCCAGCAACCGCGACGCTGTGGCACAGTCACGTCAGAACAAACTGATACCCTGCTTTTACACGGTGAGTTCATAGAGACACTACTGTTTCTCCCGTGGTCTACCATGTTCAGTCGAAATGCTCGACCTCGAAGAAAGCAGCACAAGCTTTGTACCCTTCTATGAACGGTGGACGTCTATATTTCCACTCGAAAGTTGAATAAACTAATGTATACACAACCAGATCGAGTACCGACCAGGCAGGCGGACACAAGCTACATTTTTAAGATACAGACATATCAGTAAGTTATAAATTTTGATCACAGCTGAGCGTATTTGATACCTTACTTACATGGAGGTTTATAGAAATACTTCTGTTCCCACCTCATCACGTTTGGTCAGTGATTGTAAATCTTTATGCTATTCCTGCATAATCAATGCAATGATGGAACCTCAGAACAATGGTATATCGCAATCAGCACCTTCATTTGAATTGAGCTCAGAACTACCATTCATTCGATACTCGATTTAGAGTTTTTTCCTGTTCTCGTTTGAAGAAGGTAAATCTTTTCTTTCTTTTCATTTGCTCCGTTCATGGCATGTTTAGGTAGGGTTGGCCATTACTTCTACTGTTGCAGTGAACGTGACTTGACCTTGTTGTTTCTGCTGCTATTCTTGCTGTCATCGTCATCAAGGGCATCAGGGTAAAAGACAGAGTATCCAGACTAATGATGACTGACCTGTATCTGAAGTTCTTCTTCTAAAAGTGAAAGTTCACTCATTTCTGTTTCGTTCCCAGTTGCATTCTGAAGCAGTCACAAGACAGTTGAACTGTACATATAAGATTTGATACAACAAACATAAATGAGAAAACTGTCCCTGTCTCAGAGTTTACCCATAAATAAAACTGGACGAAGCAATATTTGCCCTTAACTGGAGATCTAAGCGGATAGAGGGTCATTTGATATGATTAAGAGCCTACAAAGTTGACTTCTTCGTACGAACAAGTTGGTAGACAGCGGCCTACTTCTTGGAATACACCCTGATACAGAAA